TCGATCGGGTGAGGGCGGGGGGATAGGAGGAAGGTGGGTGGGTGGTGTGGTGATGGGGGTGGAGGCGGAGAGAGCAGGGGAGGAGGAGGAGGAGGAGGAGGAGGAGGAGTTTGACTTGAGATATTCGTTTCAGATTGACGACATGGTCAACGAGTTTTTTCTCCGAGGATCCACTGTGAAGGAGTGGAACTCTCTTAACGATCAACTCTACAACAAGTGAGACTCTCCTGAATCCACTGCTGCCTGTTCCTCTCCTCCTCTTCCTCTTCCTCGTCCTCGTCCTCTTCCTCTCCTCCTGTTCCTGTTCCTGTTCCTGTTCCTATTCCTGTTCCTGTTCCTATTCCTGTTCCTGTTCCTGTTCCTGTTCCTGTTCCTCTTCCTCTTCCTCTTCCTCTTCCTCTTCCTTTTTCTCGTCCCCATCCTCGTCCTTTTTTCCTCCTCCTTCGCCATGGTCTTCTCTACTTGTTTCTCCGTATCCTCCTCGTCATCGTCCTCTCCTGTTTCTTCACCTGACGTTCTTTCCTCCCTCCTTCCTCTCCCTCCTCTCCCCATCTGCCTCCTCCTCCTCTGGCAGGTACGGAGAGAACCTCGAGGGTTTCAACCCCAAGAAAGAGTCCATCACCTCCTCCTTGGATCAGCTTCTGCGGGAGATGCAGGAGGAAGTCGCCAAGGTCCAGCAGGACTTCGTTGCTCCTCCTCCTCCTCTCAGCCCGGAGAAGCAGAAGGAGGTAGCGAAAGATGTCATGTACCAGGTCAGGAGAGGAGGAGTGGAGAGGAGGGGAGAGGAGGGGAGAGGAGGGGAGAGGAGGGGAGATGAACGGAATCGAGGATAGTTGAGTCAGTGAAGGAGCGACGACTGGCGGTACACGGGAGAGAGGAGAGCAGATCACAAAGCAGGAGGGTTGCGAAGACGGGAAAGAAGAGGGGGAAGGGGTGAAAGGAAGGGGAGGAAGGACGGGAGATAGGAAGAGGAAACGGAGGAAGGAAGGGGAAGGGGAGGAAAGGTGGTTGTTCCTGCTCTCAAACGTTGGCAGCTGTCATACCTGATGTACCTCGATCCTGATTCCGACGAATTTTGAATTAAAGCTTAAAAAGTCTTCTCGTCTCTCTCGTCCTGGACGATGCTGTTTCCCTCCCTCTCCTCTTCCAACTATCCCTATTCCTGCCATCCCCTTTCACGTTCTCCTCCTTCGGCCTTCCCTCCTCCCTCGCTTCCTCCTTCCGGGTCCTCGTTCTACCAACACTAGACGATGATATCAAGGTTGATTTTCAAAACATTTATCGCAACACAGTGAAGGAGCACACGTCGAGCAAGCGCAGACGTTCCTTCCTTGTTAAAAAACTCTACCCTTCCTTCCTCTTCTCTCTTCTCCTAATTTCCCTTCCCTTGTCCTCCTCTTTCTCCCTCTTTCTTCCTCTTCTCGTTTCATTCGCTTCTCTTTCTCCTCTCCTCCTCTCTTTCCCCCTCTCTTTTCTTCCTCTCTCCACTTAGGTATTAGGGGCCATCAGCCCGAGCAGCTGTGCGGTATCGTCGAGCACCTTGTACATCTTCACGCGGGCCTCGGCTGCCACCTGGGCTGCCTTGGACGCGAACTCTCGAGCCTGCTCGTCCGCGCTCTCACTCTCCTGCAGCATCCGAAGCTTGTCCTCCCTCCTCAGCACCTTGGCCACCTGGTTCTGCCTGCCCACATGGGGAGGAGGCTCTCCTGCCTTGACGAACGGCGACTCTACCTTGAACTCGTTGGACGCGAAGATGTACAACCCGGACCCGCTTGGCTCGTCGTCGATCCATATCCCTCCCCACTGATCCCCATTGCGGTACACGTGCGTCCCGTACCCGCTCTTGAGGTTCCTGTTGAACTCTCCATGGAACTTCTGGCCGTCCGCGAACTCGTACGTTCCCTGCCCGTGCATCCTCCCCTCAAACCACTGCCCGGTGTAGCTGGCCTTGCTCGCAAACCGATAGCAACCGTACCCGTGCTTCAAGTCTCGCAACCACTGGCCCTCGTACGTCGACCCGTCCGAGTACTTCATCACTCCGTGCCCGCTTCTCTCTCCTTCCAGCCACTCCCCGTCGTACACGGCGCTGGAGGCAAAGTACATTGTTCCTCGGTTGTTACGCTTGTTGTTGACCCACTCGCCGATGTACTGGTTCCCGTTGGCGTACCGGCACTTTCCCTTCCCGTGCCGCATGCCGCCCTCCTTCTCCCCCTCGTACTCTCCTTCGTCAACCTCCCCCCTGTCCTCTTGCCGCATTGGGGCCGCCATGTGCGGCTCGACGCCGATCGGCCTCTCCTTGATGACAGGCGTTTGGAACGGAGCGATCTCATCGTTGCCTCCCATGCTCGCCATGAGCTTCTGGAAGACCTCGTCCTTGGGCCTGGCCTGGTTGATCACGGACTTGGGCAGAGGAGCCGGCTCATACGCCGTCCGCTCCACCTTGGGCTCCTTCATGGGCATCCCCGTCAGCTTCGTCTGCCGCGGAATCTCCGCAGGCTTCGTCTGAACTTTGGGGAAGTTCGCGGCGTCAGCGAAGGATGGGGGCAGCTGGAATCCATCCTCTTGCGCGAAGGACGCTGGCGGCCTGTACTGGTCGAAGCTTTCAGGCAGACCCTCAGTAGCTGAGAAGGCGTTGCTGAAGAAATTGCCGGCAGTCATGCCGTTCCCGTTAATCTGAGATTCGGCTGGCATCGGCATGGTGGCGTTTCTTGTTCTAGAGGAGAGCAGGGGCGTCAGAGCGAACCACCACAGCACATGACATTCACAATTCAATCAGATCAAAGTCCGATGGAAAATCTCTTCTGACGGTCTAAGCTGAGACTTTTCGTACCCACTCAACTCCGGATATCGTATACATAGCATCTACATCGACAAAAGTTTCGCTCTTGTTGGTGCGGTTTACCCGGCAAACCTTGTACCTCGTTGCTATTCGTGTGTTGGCCTCTGGGTTCACTTTCCTTTTCGCACATCTCAATGTGGGTTCTACCTCATCCCCACTTGTATCAACCATCTCCTCTGCTGCTATCTCTCCCTTCCCCCTCCTCTCCTCTCTCCTCTCTCCTCTCTCCTCTCTCCTCTCCCGCTCCTCCCTTTGCTCTTCGCGTTCCTCGGCATTGCCTCCCTCCTCGGAAGGACAGATACACCCCACCCCCATTTGTGCCTCTCTATACCCCACCTTCTCACTGTGATACAGTACCCTGACCCTTAAAACAAAGAGATGACCATCTACCCATCAAGTTGTTGACACACCCCTGTAAACTAGTTCCAGTACCCCTATATTTTCCCCATGTTCACAGCTTTGTCACACACCCCTACCCTGGACAAATGTACCCTTACCCCCATTGCTTGCTTCCAAACGTTTGGAGGATCCTGGGCCATGGAAGCCATCACGATGGCCGAGCCAGAGGAGCTGGCAAAGATGCAGGTGAGCGACGACAACGACGACAGTGAGGAAGAGGAGAGGAGGAGAGGAGGAGGAGGAAGAGAGCGAAGGAGAAGGAAGGATTGGGATGCAAGGGAGAAGGCGGGGAGAAGAGATGTAGGCAAGATGAGTTGGCGATCAATCATCATCCGTGCAGGAAAAGAAATTCATGCGATACAAGAGGCTCCTCGTGGAGGAGGTGAAGTACCTCGAACACATGAGGGAATCTGATACAAGACAGGCGAAGGGGATCAAGGACATGAAGTTCTTCGATGCCGTCGTCATCACTGCCTCCGACGAGGAGCAGGTGCTTTCGAACAGGACCGATCCTGGCGACCCTCGCGCCCTCCAGCATGTGATCGTTGATGGCGTTTCAAGCTGACCGCTGGATCTCAACAGGCGAAGATCTATGAGGAGCAGTTGCAGTGGAGGAAGCAGCTCAAGGTCTCGTGGCTACATGCTCTGAATCCCTCAGCTTCTGACCAATTGAACAGTCTATCCCCTCCCGCCCCCACTACCACGTCCTGCATGACCCGCCAGGGGTCAAGATAGGCAACGGAGGCAACCGAACTCCCTCGCCCTCTGACGAGCGACTGACGAGGACGGTGGTGGCAGGAGCAACTTTCGTCGCTCTTGACTTCCTTCGGGACAAGTTCTCGTCGGAGTTCGAGAGCCTTCGAGTTCTCCTCATTCATGCTGGAGGGTACAGCCAGCGAACACCCCAGCACAGGTGCCAGCTGCTCGAATCTGCGCGTGCTGACGTCAGTGTGAAGTGTTTGCGGGAAGATCTTCGCAGCCCTCCCAGCTGGACCATTTCAGGGCTGCTCAATGCTGGGTGAGGGGAGCGAGTCGGTGCGCTCCCGCTGATGTTTTGGTGGGAAGAAATGTGCTTCGCTATGCTATGCGACATTCCTGGCAGCGCTCCTCCTGGTGTGATGGTGAGCGATCTAGCCGCCAGAGCTTCTTGCCTCGCTCACCCCTCGCACAGCTCAAGTGTGGGGACGATATCATCATCTTCGACTCCGATGTCTGTGACTTCAACCAGCCTGGTCCTCTTGGCTTGTGAGAGAAGGAAGGCGAGGAGTCACTCGGTGCCCGCAGGCTTCACGGCCCTCGCACACCGGAGCACAGTCGACATCGCCTACACCCACGGCGTGTTCTGCCTCGAGGCCTCGGAAGGAAGCCAAGGGGAGGGAGCAGGTGGGCAGAGAGTTCAAACAAGCTTCAACAGTGAAGTTTTCTGTTCCAAGGGACCGTCCGTTGTCGTCGATACACGCACAAACCTTCCCACGAGCGAGTGATGGAGCAGCCTCCTGCTTCCCTCCCCTCACCTGCCTTGAGGGCAGATGCGCAAGTACGGGGCGCTGATGAACAAGGAGCTCGAGGCCTACACCGACAGCACGTTCTTCTTCGACATGCCAACAGTGAGGTGGTAGGGGCGGATGGGGCAGAGGCTGAGCTGCGTTGCAAGGCGAAGAGGCTCTTGACTTGGTGGGACGAGCACGAACGGCACGTGGGCTGTGAGGTGGATGCGTACGGGGACCTGTAGGATCTCGAGGAAGGAGGCTATGCCGCCGATTGACGGGTGGATGATCAATCAGGCTGCAAGCGCTGGGCCCTGAAGCCGACGAGGAGTACATAGGTCAGCATGGTGAGGTTGAGCAGGAGGAAGGAGGGATGAAGTTGCTCAGGCAAGGGAAGCGACTTGCTGTCTGAGACCCGGAGGAGCCTCTTTCAAGCACTGAATGGGATGGAGCTGAACGTTTGCAAGGTCCACGCTCCTCTGATCTTGATCTTTCGTCTTCCTACCCCTTTGCACGTAAAAGGCCTTGATGCTGAGCTGGACGGCAGGTGGAGAAGTCTCGCTTCTGGCACATAGGAACGATCCCAGAGGTGAGGGGAGAGGAAGGGAGGAGGGAGAAGAAGGGAGGAGGGAGGAGGCTCAGACGGGCTGCTAGATGCTCGACCACTTCTGCGGCTCCACGTCGTTCCTTGTGGAGGCCTCTGGGGGGAGCGTAAGGCAAGAAGGGTTCGCGGTGGAGATAGGTACAGGAGGGAGAGGGTTTTAAGTAGCAGGAGCTGACGGACCACAAGGAGCACACGGTCTGGGCTACTACTCGAAGTCGTTGACGAGCTGCAAAATCTGCTCTCGGGTGCACGAGTCAGCCGAGCTGGGGCCTCGGAGTGTGGTGGAGTTCTGTACAGTAAGCAAGGAAATGCTGTGCGACATTGAAAAGACTTATCCTGCCTAGGTAGGCAAGGACGTGAAGATAGGAAGGGACTGCCTCCTTAGCTGGTTGAGTAGCTGAAGCATTCCAGACAAGGGGGTTGAGCCGATGTTTCATGCAGCGTCGCTCTAACGGACGGAGTTGTCATTCCTGATGGCATTTTCCTTCAGACGGTCGTGATCACGTTGGATGGGAGGTGTGGGGCACACAGCGAGAAAGAGATTGGCTATTGTTTTAATGGATATTGTACAGGACAAGATATGTCACCCAAGTGATGCGAACCTCCGACGATGTAAAGCAGTCAGGGACGATAGAGAAGGTGAGCTTGAGTCGACGTTCTGCTGCTGCGAGTAGCTGACGTCCTTGAAGCTTTTATGGCTGGGAATGAGCATGAGCAAGGTCTGCTCTGTCCTTGGGATAGCTGAAGACACCATCCATACGGCTCAAGGTCAGATACTGATATGCATTGCCCACCATGTATTGAACGTTGACGGTGGGTAACAGCAGCAGGGAAGCCGAAGACGTTTTGGGATGCTCGTCTTCATCCCGTCGCTGAGTGTGAGGATATCCCTTACCGCCCGATGCGCCAGTAAGACTTGAATGCAGCAAGAGAACTCTCCGTCCTCTACTCGCTCAGCCTGATGTACAAGGTATCGTGCGATAGTTCTCATTGTCCAGCAAGACAGCCGATGGAGTCATCGTGAGCAAGTGTATGAATTTCAGGCGCTGGGAATCGACACGGATCAGCCTCTCAAGGACGTGTTGCCTGAAGCTGTCTCCGCGCATCGAGTCTCGATGGGTACCGAAAGCAGCGCCGCCTGAATAGCTGTGTGACCGCCTTCTGTACAGGAGAATGTGTCCGATGCAAGCACGCGGTAGAGCAGCTTCGGTACAGGAGGATGTTCGACGACCTGGTGGAAGCGGCGAGCGAAGCCTGACGGTGACGGAAGTTTGAAGTGGAGTAGACGTGTAATGAAGGCGACCAAAGTCAGAGTGACTTCTCAAAGAATTCTCTCCTCTCCGCTAGAGTCGACGATGATGGCGTGCGATAAGATGAGCTTGATAGAGTCGTTGAGCGCCTTGAGCTGCTTGGACTTGATGGAGGGCAGCATTTTCGCCGATATGACTGTATGGCCGCGTACTTCCCGATCAGTGATCGACACAAGGAGTGTCGCAGCAGAAGGTCAAGAAGCAGGTAGCTTGCACGTTGTTGTGGCTGGGGATAGGAGTAGGAGCAGGCGAAGGAGGAGCTTTCCAACGTCGTGTCTTTCGATCAGTTATGTGCGAGAGCCAAAAAAGAAAGAGCGTTTCGGATCACAAAACGCAATGTTTCATATCCCACTGCAACTTCAAGAAGTCGGTAGCTGGGAACATCGTACAATCACGAGATTTCAGATCCTGATGACCAAGGAGTCAAGGGAGGATGCATCCCTTCACATCGCACGGCACTACCATGAGCATTGTAAAAGTTTGAATTGTTCCTGGTGCAGATACGACAAGCTGTCACGACCTCAGTGATTTGTCCTCGTACTGATTTTAACTTAACTTTGAGCAAAAGAAGATTTACGGAGGTCGTTGGTCACTTACAGCCCGGGCCGCCTGATAAAAACCCAGTCCGAATTTATGCCAGTTGGTACCGTGACGGCACCCGGCGGGCCCGGCGACGTCAGAGGCCCCGGGAACGGCGCCGGGTCACCACTGCCGCAGTGGCACTGAGCTCGGCTGGGCGGCCGCAGGTACGTGGGATGCAGATGCATCGAAGATGGGAGCGAGTGCTGGGAGGGAGAGGAGGGGAGGGGAGGGAAGGCGATGGGAGCCTGGGAAAGAGTAGAGTACAGGAGGGTAGGGTAGGTAGGGTAAATGGGAGATTTTGAGGAGAAGGAAGAAGGCAGGTGAACTTTATTTCTATCCTTTGTAAAGCGCACTCCATCAAGTTCGTTCAATGATGTTCCCTGCACAGTTTGATCCGTTGATGGCCCAGAGCACCAACCGACCGACCTCGTCAGCTAATTGCAGCGACTACAAGAGGAGGGACCCGAGGGATGTTTTATCATGGAGAACCGACAAGATCATACTAGTGCTTGATCGGATCAGAGACGTCGGGAACATCTCCTCCATCTTCCGCACCTGCGATGCTCTTGGCGTGCAGGTGATCTGGAGTATCCTCCCCCCCCACTACACGGGAGCCTTCTCGTCCTCCACCAAGAAGATTCGGAGCAAGATGCGCTCCATCAGCAGAGGAGCTGATCGCTACCTCAGCCAGCGCTTCTTCCAGGACGAGCACGAGCTCTTGAAAGCCATCAGGTTGAGATGAGAGTTGACAAACCTCCTCTTCTCATCGTGCTTCTCACTTCGACCTTGCCCTAGGGAGGAAGGGAGACAGATCTGGTCCACAGACTTGGGGGCAGGCGCCGTGTCGTTGAGGTCGGGGGAGCAAGTGGAGCTGCCGCAGGAAGGCATCGCCCTCGTGATGGGAGAGGAGACGGCTGGAGTCTCGCAGGCAATCCTTGACGCCTCCTCAAAGCGAGTCTTCATCCCGACCTTCGGCTTCGTTCAGTCGCTGAATGTCGCAGTGGCAACGGCGCTCGTCCTTCAGGCCCTCTTGTGGCAGGTGAAGGTGGAGCATCGCGGAATAGGCAGCGCCGCCTTGCGCGAGTCGGTGGAGAGAGACTGGAAGGAGTGGTTGGAGGAGACAGAGGGAGCGGAGCAGAGGCAGGAGGAGGCGATCTGCGAGGAGGCGGCGGAGGAAGGAGGTTGAATTATTGATTAACATCAGTCGTGATGGAAGGAAAAAGCATGCCTGTCTCATCGCATGCTCTGACTTTCATCCGGTGCCCTTGGCTGCAGGAGGAGCGACTCGAGCTGTAAAATCTTCTTCTTCTGGAAGATGACCTTGTCCTCGAGCTCTGCGATGTACTCCATGTCCGCCTGCCTGAGAGACTCAAGCTGGTCGATGCGCAGCTGCAAGTCCGGCTGCGAGTCCGAGGCTGGAAGAAGGAAAGATATCAGAGGGGAAGACGAGAGAGAGGGAGGGGGGGTGGGGGGTGGTGTTTTAAAATCCTCTCCCCTCATCCAGAGCGAGGGGGAGGGGAGGGGAGGAGAGAGAGCGCGGGGAGAGAGGAAGAGTGAGCAAGGGAGGAACAGAGAGGATAGGACAAGAGAGGGGAGAGGGTAGAGGAGGAAGAAAGGGGAGGATTAGGATTGTTCACTGGCTCTAGCGCTCATCATATCCTCGACTTGGGAGAAAAGGGAGCTTTTCTTGGTCTCGAAGGCTGTGTTGAACTTGAGCATACTCTGCAGCTCCTGTGCCATGGTAGAGGTTTAGCGAGCACACAGACAGGAGGCCTCTTGCCCACCTTGATGGTCTCCAGCCTGGCGTGTTGTATCTTGTCATCCGCATACCTTTCGCTGCAATCAAGTCAACGTGACAGGGTGGCAGGGCAAGACATGCTCTACGCCATAAGCTGGTCGATCTTGTTCTGCAACCTCCTGACCGTATCCTCGTTCTGCTCGGATGCTGCCAATGAATCACAATGAGATGGTTCACATCACGTGTTGCTCTCGAACCTCTCGCCATGCTCGTCTTCCTGCACATCACTCTTAGATCGCAGGGGAGACGTTTGGACGTGACAACTCACAGGGTGACATTCTCTAACGTCAGAGCTTCCACCTTCTGCTCCAAGATTGACTTCATTCGATCCAGGGTTGCCTTCTCCTCTTTCTGCGTATCGCTTTCGCTGTCCTCTTCCTGAGCGTTGACTTCAGTTGCCTTGCAGAGAATGTCAGCTACATCAACATACACGCCATGTCGCAGCACCTGCTTCTTCCCGATCGCTCGCATGATCTTCTCGATCTTGTCACTGAGATGAGCTGGAGGAACGAACTCTTCGCTGTCGTCGTCCATCTCTTCCATCATCAGGTTTCTCTCCATCAGCTGCCAAGACATTATGAGGGTTGTTCCGTAGCCATCAACATCCTCCACCTCCTCCATCTTCTCGATGATCTTCGCGTTTGTTCGCGAGTCTTCAAGAGAGCTCTCTTGTCTACATACAACACAGTCATGCCTCTACAACCATCTCTGCTTCCCTCACCCCGCATCGACTCCAACATCCCTCGTCCTGCTGCTGGTTAGATACTCAGTAGAGAAGCGACTTCATTCTGACCTCTTTGCTGCTCGGCTCGTCAGGTTCGCATCAACCGCCTCCAGTGACTTCTCAACGCAGGGAACAGTAGCCTCCATCTGAAATATGTCTGAGCTGCCTGAAACAAGACGGGGGGAGAGGAAGGCAAGAGACTGGAGTACATGCGCAAGCATCAAGTCAAGGTTCTGCAGTTTGATCTGCTGCTGTTGTTGTGAGATCTCAGCATCATCGAGAGCTTCTTGTAGCAGCTCGTCATTGACGATGCTCCAGGACTCCAGCAGGGTCCCTGCTCCTTGCATGTCATGTTGGTCACAGGCAAGCAGTAGGTAGACCCTTGAGGATCGTCATCAGAGGTCCGTTAGCTTGAACATCTTGAGTGATAGTGAGAGGTTTTACACAGCTCAGAGGGAGAGGCAGAGGAAGGGAGAACGAGAAGAGGTAGAGGTAGAGAAAGAGGTAGAGGTAGAGAAAGGGGACGAGGAGGGAGGTACCTGCCCATGCCTGCAGGAGAATACGTTCTAGTCTTGCAGAGATCAACCTTGACAGGAGGAGCATGACATCATGGACGGGATTCAACTAACGACTTGTCCCACCTGCACTTGCGGGAGGCGGAGTGAGAGGCGACGGAGGTAGAGTCGAGTGTCTTGTGCTGGTGACTTCGTTTGGGAACGGGGGGAGCAGAGTCCGAGGGCTCAGCTCTGTTGGGGCTTGTCTTGAGCCTGCTCCTCGTCTGCTTCCCTATCCCAAAGATTGCTCGATACTCTCCTCGCTCCATCTTCAACGGTTCCCCTCCTCTCTTGCCTCCTGCTTTTATGACATGCTGGTGCCCGCACGCCTCGTCAGGCGTGAAAGGTTGCGAGGCTCAGCATGTCTGAGTGAGAGCTGAGAAGTTGCTAAGGATTCCTGAGCCAAACGATCAGCTGGTGGCTGATGAGCGAAAAAAACTGACTGAGAGAAGTCAGAGACAGTTGCTGTCTAGAGAGGAAAACAATCCCTTCCTCTCTCTTTCATTCTTCAAGCCCATATTATCCTTGTTTTTTCTTCTTGTCCTTGTTCTTCTCGTTCCTACCTCTCTTCTCTCCTCATACTTTCTCTTCTTCTGTTTGACATCGCTGCTCTGAGCTCTCCTCGCCTCTCCTCCCTCTCCTCCATATTTTCCTTGCAGCCGCAGTCCGAGTGGTGTGAGGGAAATAAGGGAAACAAGGAGGAGGTAGGGCCGGGGGTACGCGAGGAACTCGGAAAGGGAAGGGAGAACACAAGGAGGAGGAGGAGGGGAAGAGCAAGGAGGGAGGAGGAGGACGAGGAGGAGGACGAGGAGGAGGACGAGGAGGAGAACGAGGAGGACAAGGAGGATGAAATTGAGGAGGATGAGTTTTGGTCAGCTCCATATTTCTTCTCACCACGACTGGACAATGTTGAGGGCTTGAATTGAAGTAATTGTATTTCTAATTAAGAGGCTCTAGTGCCTAAATTAAGATTTGATGTAAGAGGAAGCCAACCCGGTGATGTTGTCAAGTTGTAAACTACAATCAAACTGGTCGTTCCCATTGTGTCGTCTGTAGACATCAAGTTAAGATTACCCTTCTCCGCCTCCATCATCATCATAATAGTCATCATCGTCACCACCACTACCACCACCACTACCGCCGTCATCATCTTCGTCGTCATCGTCATCATCACCACCACTAACATCATCATCATCATCATCATCATCATCATCATCATCATCATGATCAACCCCCCCTCTTGGGTCATATCATCTGCTCCTCCTACCTGTGTCTGATGGTTGACATAGTAAGCTCTGCCACTGCTCTGGTCGACTCGCTCCTCCCATCCTGGTGGCAGCGCAGAGTATGCGGGGGGGGGAGGGGGAGGGGCTGAGCCACCGCCTCCTCCTATGTTGAGATTCTGCATGCCTGCCTGCACCTGCGCAGAGAAGTCACGAAGTGGAGGCGAGAAGAGAAGAGGTCAGACGAGGAGAGGTCAGAGGAGGAGAGGTCAGAGGAGAAGAGGAGAGAGGAGAGGTCAGAGGAGGAGAGGTCAGAGGAGGAGAGGAGAGAGGAGAGAGGAGAGGTCAGAGGAGGAGAGGAGAGAGGAGAGGTCAGTGGAGGAGTGGAGAGAGGAGAGGTCAGTGGAGGAGAGGAGAGAGGAGAGGTCAGTGGAGGAGAGGAGAGAGGAGAAGTCAGTGGAGGAGAGGAGAGAGGAGAGGTCAGAGGAGGAGAGGTCAGTGGAGGAGAGGAGAGAGTAAGGACAATAAAGGTAGAGCAAGGAGCAACAGGAAAACGGACCTGGTTCCAGTCTGAGTCCACAGAGGGACGAGGACGGGGCTGGATGTTGTTGGCGATCATGTAGGAGGTGAGCTGGGAGGGGATTTCAGCGAGGACGCGGCTGGTGAGCTCAGCTCCGTTCTTGTTGCACTCCCTGAAGGCGACGAACTGCACTATGTCCCGGGTGACCTGCCTGCCAGATACAGAGGACCGCAGCACCCGATCGTCCCCATCGAGCTCCTCCATCTTGCCGAAGTCTGCGTCACCGACCCCGACAATGACGATGGAGAGAGGGCTGGAGCAGGAGTCGATAATCTTCTCGATCGTGTTGTCCATGTCGGTGATCTCTCCGTCGGTGATGATCAGCAAGACGACGTACTCCTGGCTGCCCGGCTTGATCCTCTTGCACTTGTCGTTAGCCATGGTGATGATGTCAGCGAAGTTGGTCGGCCCGTACAGCACGACGCTGCTGAGACACTTGGCATACGCATCGAGGATCCCCTGGACCCCCTGGACCTCCGGGCGATCCGCCTTGCCGTTGAGGGCGAAACAGTGGGACACCCGACCATCCGGCAGCTTCGCGCCGAACCCGAAGCACCCGAACTGCTTGCTGGAGCTGTACTTCTCGAGGATCTCCCCAACAGACGCGATGGCGAGCTGGTACTGGTTGAAGCCCGACGGGTTCATGTAGTGGAGAGAGTCTGGCTTGAGCGGGTCCTGGTTGGACGCAGTGAAGTCAACGGCCATCAGGATGTCGATGCGGCATCCCCCAGCCACGTACTCGAAGAACGTCGGCCGGTGTACCAGCTGGGCAGACAGGTCAGGAAGTCAGCAGGTCAGAGCATGCTCTCGGACCTGGACGTGGGTAATGTTGAGGAGTCCTCGATCTTTGGTGTCCTGGGCGTTTCCCTTGTTCTTCTTGACAGGGAAAGATGCTGGACCGGTCCCTTTCAGCAGGTCCTGCACGGTGCAGGTCACCTGGCCCATGAAGTCGTGGCTCGACATGGCGTTCCAGTCCCACAGCTCGAAGACCATCGGCATGTCCATCTGTCCCAGGTTGAGCTTCTGAATGGGGATTTCGATCCCGTGCCAGACAGGGTCCTTAGAGTTCTTGATGACCTCAGTCTCATACACCACATCCAGCGCCCCATCCTTCCGCTTCCTCTTGATCCTCACGTACTTGTCCCCCTTTCCCAGCCAGTCCTTTGTCGCTAGTTTGGTCCCACTCAGGATGAAGCGGAGAGAGTCGTTCGCTCCCTGTACCTCCTCCGCAAGGATCTTGATGGTGCCATACCTCTTGTCGTTGGCTCCCTTAGAGCTTGCAAGTGCCTCGATCAGGCACGATCCCTTCGACCCTACGATCTTCCCTAGCGTCGTCTCGTGGAATCCCAGGAAGTCTTGCTGGTCCAGGCTCTTCTTGGGCGAGTCGATATCGTACACTGTGAACTTGACATTCTGCACGGTCTCGAACAGAAAGTCGATCTCGATCTTGGTCGAGAACCTGCCGACAGAGTCAACCGACGGCTCCTCTCCCCTGCTCCTCCCCTACTTGGGGTTGAGGTTGTTCTGTATGACTTCAGTCCTCGCGACCTGAACCACAACGCTCTTATCCCCTCCCATCACCATCACGCTCTCTTCACCTCGACCCAGCGACCTTGCGGGTCTTTGCTATGAACCTGTGACCACATGTCAAGGGCTAGGAGGGGGGGCGTTAGACTCATGGTTGCCAGCTCACCACACACATTGGGTCAGACTTGGATAAGACATCTTTGTTCTGCAGCCCTCTGGAACACAACACGGCAATTGTGAGTGACAACAGCAGGTGTGAGCTTATCTCCTCACTTGCACTCTATGGAGAGCAGAAGTTTGCTCTTCGGCACGGCATCCACCATCTGAGATCGCAACGTTCAGATCACGAAAGCATTTGGACGACAGTCCTTATCCGAAGTCATGCCTTTCCTCTGCAAGGTATTTTTCTTGTCCCCTGTTTCTCTCTTGCACCTCTCGTCCTTATCTTGCATCGCCTCTTAGTTCTCCTCCTTCTCTTTCTCCTTCTCTTACTCTTAAGTTTCTCGTTTTCTTTTCCTTCGTTCCAAATTCCCCTTGCTGTCCTGTCCTCTTCCTTTTTGTTTTGCTCTGCCCTCCTCCTTCAGTCGGTACTCCCTTCAGATGTCTATCCTTCCCTCTGTCCCTTCCCTGCCTCTCTCCTCCCCTCCTCCTCCTCCTCCTTCTCCTCCTCCTCCTCCTCCTCCTCCTCCTCCTCCCCTTCTCCTCCTCCCTCAAACGCATAGAGTTCGGAAATTCGACACGCCACATCGCGCTGGGAAAAGTGCAGTAGGGGGGTAGTCAAGGTCCAGATACCGGTCCATTGGTCTGCGAAAGATCCATATAGACCAGGTGGGGTACATCTTTACGAGGGTATTCTAGAGAAAGTAGTGGGAGTCCAGTCCCCGAAACTGGTCAGGAAGGGGATGTGGTCCTTCCGACGACATACAAGGGAATACCATGCTCAAGGCGACGATCGCAGCGATGGCGGCGATGCAGACGGTGATGGAGGAAACTTGGACGATGATGTCTAGATGGAGGGGGAGAGATACAGAGAGAAGGAAGGAGGAGGAGAGGAAGGGTGGCCGGTAACAGAAGCGGAGGCGAGCGAGGTACAGGAGTGGGTGTGTGCGATCCTCCTTTCGTTCTCTTCCATCCTTTTCACTTCTGAATGCCCTTCAGGTGTCTGCGTTCAACGTCCCGGTCAACCATCTCGGCCTGAAGCCGCGTGCACACGAACGTAGCCTGCCCGTCACGAGGCATGCAAGGACTGCTGTACATGCTCCTGCTGCTCTTCAGTTGACCTCAGAGGTCACCCTGTACGGAAACAGAAACAGCAGGTCACCACTGATCGAGTGGTACCTCGTCGAAATCAACAAGCAGTACACACACAGGTAGCTTGCTCTGGACCTTTTCAACCTCCTGTGGGGAAGTAGCTGTGTATGCTGGACTAATCCTGCCATAATCAGTGAGGATCGCGCGTCGAACCCGAACCCGTTCGGCAAGGTTGGCAACGATAGAGATTGTCATGGATTAGATGATGCTGGCGATATTGCAAGTGATAGGGGAGGTGATTGTGATAGTCAAGTATGCTGTTGATGATAGAGGAAACCATTCAAAATGTGCAATGATGTCAACTATGAGGAGGAGGAGGAGGAGGAGGAGGAGGAGGAGGAGGAGGAGGAAGAGGAGGAGGAGGAAGGGAAGGGGAGGGGGAATGGGTGTGGAAGGAAATGTTGTTTTCATCTTATGTCACTTCATGTAGATTCCTGGCTTGCGTGACGATAAGGTTGAGCTGTTTGAGAGCGGCGCCATCTTGCTGTACCTGTCGGACAAGTACGGGGAGAGCAATACCCCCGAGAAGCGAGCAGACGCCGCAAAGTGGATCGTGTGGGCCAATGCGGAGCTGGATGGAGTTTTGTTCACCCGGGATATTGAGGTTGTGCGCTGTTTTGCGGAGAAATGCTGCTGCTGCTGCTGCTCCTGCTCCTGCTCCTGCTCCTGCTCCTGCTGCTGCTCCTGCTCCTGCTCCTGCTCCTGCTCCTGCTCATAATTTTGATGATGATAATGACGATGAGGAGGAATAGGAGGAGGAGAAATGTGCTGTTTGCGGTTTTTCCTTTTTCCTGCTGATCACCGGGACAGGCTCGGGCTCCCAAGGTGCTGATGCAGCTGGATGCAATCCTCAACGGGAAGGTGAGAAACGTCGCGAGGTTGGCGGGAGGAGGGCGAGGAGGGCGAGGAGGAACCGCAAAGAAAGAGAATACAGAAAGAGGATTTGAGACGAGAACGAGGTCAAGGACAAGAAAGAGACGGGAGGGCGAGAATGGATCACCAAGAAAATTGAGGGAGCAGCGAGCTCCAGGCTGCTGGTCGACGATGGAGCATCTCACCGTGCATGGCAGGAGTTCCTCGTTGGCAACCAGTTCTCCGTGGCGGACGTGGCAGGTGAGGAGCAGCTGGGAGGATGTTATCAGCTGACTAGCGGGCAGTCGCCTCCTACCTCCTTTTCATCCCCCTGTTCCACCCCAACTTCGATGCCAGCCGCTTCCCAAATGTCCTTCAGGTACAGCCGTTGCCTCCTTCACCCTCTTGCTCCCCATCCGTTTGTTCAATTTTGTCCTCCCCTCCCCCCATTCTGTCCTCCCCCCCCCTCCCTCCCTCTCCTCCTTCTCGTTCTCTTCCCCCTTCTCGTTCTCTTCCCCCAACCCCCTTTTCCTCCTTCTCGTCCTCCCTCCTCTTTGACCTTGTCTCTCGACCCTGCTCTCCTCGTTTTCCTCCCATCTGTGTGTCTCTCGAGTATTCGTTCTCCTTCCTCTTTCCTCTCCTCCCATCTCTGCTGCTTGCTGAAAGTTGTCTGCGCAGTACATGGACAGGTGCGCCTCCCGTCCTGCATTCCAGAAGACCATGGGAACCAACGCCCTCCAGTGAGTGACTGACATCGCATGTCAAGAGCTCCTCCTTCCAACGTCTCCTCTCTGTCTTCAGTGACCTCTTGCTCTTCCTCTTCCTCCATCGCACGTGCGACGTCTACATCGTCTACTCCCTGACTTCCTCCTCCTCCTCCTCAGGTACTTGAAGGTCCAGATGGCAAAGAAGCCCTCAAACAACATCTTCAACAAACTCTTCTAATCCAAGAGAAATTGCTGCCCCTCGTCATTGCTTCTTTCTTCCCATCAGTTTTTGCATTTTGCCCCCGTGCACTCGAGGCTCGAAAGGCATGTTGTGGTTTGCTCTGAAAGAGAATGAACACGATGAACAACAACAAAGAAAAAAAAATACACATCCATTCTCTATCTGTACAAACAAAAAACAAAACCCCTCTAGCTTCTCCTCCTCTCCCTCCTCCTGTTCCTCCTCGTTCCTCCTCCTACTCCCTCTCATCCCGTTCCTGCCTTGGGGTAGGCGATGAAATTGTGGAAATACTCTCCAACGTTGGTATAGAACTTGATGTACACCTGCTGGGCGTCAGACGAGCTCTCAGCTTCCTCAGTTACTCACTCGAGCTACGAGGAGCCTGACTATGACGAGCTTGAGCTGCCGGCGGCGTCAGAAGTTGCCACGTCATCATCCCTCTTACCTCCTGGTGGTGCCGACCCCCCCAGAGCGAGAGGTGGAGGAAGACGGAGCCCAGCACGTTCCTGCTGAGGGGTGACGAGAGATCCTGAGGAGGAGCCGTCAGCGACCGCCAGGGCTGCCAAGAGCGTCGGACCGCCAGCGGCAGGAGGTCGTCGCCGTTTGCCACCACCTTGCAGCGCGTCTTGGGGAACTGGACGGGGGTAAGGGAAGGAGGGCGAGAGTGGGGGGAGGGGGGGGGGAGTGATGACCGAGTGGTTGTTGAGGAGGATCTTTACGAGAGGGTTCTTGACGTCTGAAAATCGTTCTGTTGCGCTAGTGAGGTGATGGAGAGGAGGGAGAGGAAAGGAGTGAAGAACAAGGGATGGAGAGGGGGGAGATGGAGGAGAGGAGGGAGAGGGGGGGGAGGAGGGAAACGAGGGAGACGAGGGAGACGAGGAAGAGGCAAGCAGGAGCTGGTGAGGAGACAACAACCAGGAGCCACTTGAGGCCAGCGGAAAAAGAAAACAAACTGGAGGACCCGACCAGGGAGAAAGGGAACACGGGTTGCAGGACATTGAACAAAGGTAGGACACAGGGAGTAGGACACAAGGAGGAACGACAGGGGGGAGGGGGAAGCAGTCTCTACCTTTGAAGTTTTCATAGAGAATGTTGGTAGATATCGCCGACATTTCTCTCTCCAGGTTGGGACCTTTCGAGCCAGAGGCCTCCTGCGCAAACCACACCTTGACAAGCACGTCATTAGCAAGGCAGGAGCTCGGCGGCAGCTCACGATGTTGTTAACTTTTGACGCGATTCTCAGCATGGCAATGATCACGGCGTCGTCCCGCATCCGCTCGGCCTCGCTGGATTGCACCGCCTTGCGGTGGTAGTTGTAGATCATCAGGAACTTGTTTGAGGGGAAGGCCGACGAGGTGTAAGAGTTTTCAACAAACTCGAGGAAAGCGTGCAGGTCGTCCTCGCTGATCTCGCCCTGCCATCTGCAACCACGAATTTTCTCACACTTGCAAACATTGCCAACACACATGCAAACAACCAAACTCGGTAGCGCAGCCAAACGCAGCAAAGACAGAATCCTCCCTTCCCTCATCACAACACTGCAACATCCCCGTCCTTCACATGCCTTCACCTCTCCCTCCTCTTAACGCCTGCCCACCACGTTCCCAACTTGCAGCCCTTGACCTCACCTTGATGAAATGCATTCAGCAAAAATTGAGACGAGACCGGTCGACGTGATGGCTGACGGCTGAACACTCTCGTCATCCTGCGGCAAGCATGAGGTGAACGGAAGAATAAAGGTAGTATCAGGAGAGCAGAGCAGAGCAGAGCAGAGCAGAGCAGAGCAGAGCAGAGCAGAGCAGAGCAGAGCAGAGCAGAGCAGAGGAGACGAGGAGAGCAGAGGAGAGCAGAGGAGAGCAGAGAGGGGAGTGGAGGAGAGAGGGGAGTGGAGGAGAGAGGGGAGGGGAGGGGAGGAGAGCAGAGCAGAGAGGGGAGGGGAGGGGAGGAGAGGAGAGGCAAGAGGAGAGGCGAGGAGAGAGGAGGGGAGCGAGGAGAGGGAAGAGGAGTAAGGGAAAGAACGAGAGAGAAGGGATGCACGAATGGGGGGATGGAGGAAGGTAGAATGAAGGAGAGACAAATGTGAAGGGTTCTGCACATGATCTCCGCCCTTTGATTCATTGATTTGTTGAGTGTCAGTTGAAGTTTTCGCGCTCTGCTTCTAAGAAGAAATCAGGAGTAGCAAACTGCATGTTGAAAGAGTGTGGAGAAAAGCAGTGTGAGGGAGGGATACAAAGGGGAAAAATGACCGAGGCAGAGGGAAAAGACGAATAGACATGAATAGTGAGAAAAGAATAGAAAGAAGGATGAAGGAGGAAGGAGGAAGGAGGAAGAAGGAAGGAGGAAGGAAGAAGGAGGAAGGGGAAGGAGGAAGGAGGAAGGAGGCAGGAGGTAGGATGTAGGAGGAAGGAGGCAGCAAAGAAACAGCGACAGGCGTCAGACCTGCAGAGTAAGGTTATGAGCCGAGTACTGCTTGAGGGTGAAGTGAGAGAACTCAGCAAACAGCTGCGCGAGCTTGTGCTTCTCCGGGGAGGCCGAGGCCATGCTCTTAACCCGACTCATGACAGCTTGCAAGGCATCGTCGCTGCAGCGGATGACGGGGATCTGATGCTGCTCCAGAAGCTCCTTCAAAGACTCGCTGAGATTGTTGACGTCAGGAGGACGTTCTGCCTTGACCAGTCAGCCGGAAAGACTCCAAGGGCTCCTACCGCTCTCGATCGCGAAGCATTTCCCCGACAGGCACTCCTTTGCGAAACCATCTTCGGGGTCAGAGGCGAACGACGCTAGACATCTAGGGGCAAGGGAGGCAGGAGGGAGGCAGGCAGGCAGGCAGGAAGGAAGGAGGGAGGCAGGGAGGAGGGAGGGAGGCAGGGATGGGATGGGATGGGATGGGATGGGAGGTAACATTCAGCAGCCAGCAAGTTTGCAGTAGAGAATCAACCTCCGCAAGTCCTCGTCGTCAAAGATGGCGCGGTGAATCTCTTTCGGCGCAATCCTTCTGCTCTTCATTTGCCGCTTCATGTCACTGTCGGACAACCCATCGGGAGACCCGGGCCCGTCCTGCTCGCTCATGAAGACCTTCTCGAAGATCCTCTTTGTAACCTGAGCTCCGATCCCTCAACGTCTGCCTGCAAGCACGGCAAGGTCACCTTGTCGAGTACTGCTGAGAGGTACACCGCTGCCCCCTCCCTCACGCACGATGCGTATCCTCCATCCCGAAGGGCATCTGGTGGGAGAAACTCAGTTTCGGTAATGCTCCCCGGCACGAACAGACCTCGAATCCTTCCCGCTGGAAACCCTACTCCAGCATCAAGGGGGTCAGCCTCTCTTTCTGCTCCGCTCCCCTCGTTGGGTCCCTTCGTTTCCAATCCATTGTGTGGCATGCCTTCAGCATGACTTGGATGATCAACTTCGAGGCTGCTAGGAGACGAGGGAGGAGGAGGAGCCTGAACCATCACCTCCTCCCCTATATCTGTCTCGCCATCCTTCTCCATCGTTCCCTTCATTTGCTCGTCCTGCTCTCCTGACTAAAGCCCTTCCTCCTTGGGGCGGGCCGGGCACCGTACGGCGGCGGGGCCCGGCCGAACTGGTTGACTGACCGGAAGTTTCAAGTTTACCGTACGACTGACTTGCCAACGGTTGATTTGACTCACTGCCCGGCCAGTCGTGACTCGGAGCAGCGGCCCGGCGTTGCGGCCAACCGGGGTCAGTACGGTACCGTCCGATACGACTGAGAGCCAGGTTCGGGGCCGGGACCCCAGGGCCGGGGACTCCGTGGGACCGGACCCTGACACTGCCATGACTCAGTGACCGTCGGACCGGGTCGTGATGGTACGGTCCGTCCGACCGGGTACTGATCTTAACTTAACTTTGAGTAAAGGAAGATTGGTACCATCACGACCGTCCGAACGAGCGTTTCAAGGGCCGAAGCTCCAAAGTTCCACGTGACCGTGACGGGCCAGCCTGAGTGCACCCGGTCGTGGTGTCACGGCGTCACAAAGTGTCAGCAAGTCACAGTGCCACGTGAGTGTGACGAGTCCGTTCTAAATCAACAACGGCCAACTTTGTGATGGTCTGTGACTGTCCTGTCTTTAAATGCAACGGGCGCTAAGCTGGCTCTTTTGCTGAGGTCAAAATCCCACCGGATATGGTCAAATAATATCCGAGGCACGGTATCTGTATCCACTTTGCCTGTTGATAAAACACCTTGGAAGGGCTTTAATGTCAGCATCTCATCGAAATCGTGTCTTTTTGTACGACTGACTGGGACATGAGAGAGCGAAACTGGATCTTTTCATTCGAACGACCGTCAAAGTTACCAAACCAATTTGAAATCCCTCTAGAAGTAAAGAGGACTGGCTGTCTACCATTGGCTTCCAAGTATAGTGCCTCAGTTAGGAAATATTGTACCTTGTGGAGTCTTCCGGCCTCGATCCTTAGAATACCCTGCTACCCTCGTTTTTACCCCTCGAAAATGTTCTCCCCTCCTACGTCCTCCTCCTCCGCGTCCTCACGTATCCATAGCCGTCTCTTGCCTCCACTGACTGCATCCTACTTGTACCAGCATGCAACATCAACCAAGCAACTGAGAGGTTGGCACTCGTTTGTCTGATCCCCCTTGCAATATCATCTCGACCTCATCAATATCACTACTTCCACCTCTTCCATCAGATCTCTTTCACTCATACATATCGGGCTATGCTCTCCACCGTCAAGGTAAAATCAAGAAAGAAGAGCGACAGCGGGGCGCTGCAGGAAGTGTCGTTGGATCCGGCACTCATTCAGTCCTTGATCCACCTGAGCCAGCAAGAAGCCGCGGATCAACTGGTAATGTTCTCTGATAGCTCTGATCTACGATTTCTCTTCTCACCTCCTCTTGCTAGGGCATCTCACTGTCAAGCCTCAAATCCGCGTGCCGAAAACTTGGGATCTTCCGATGGCCTTACTCTCGAGGAAGGAAGTCTCAGAATGACACGGGGACAGACGACCTTGAACCTGATGCGCAGCAGCTGGGCAGTGCTTCTGCCGGCTTCATCGACGAAGCGTCAAGCAGGGGGCACGGGGGAGGGCCAGTTACGCTGGCCCAACCTACAGAGTCTGATCCGCAGGATAAGGACGATTGGCACAACTCGAGCATTGGCCTTGGAATTGATATGGATCGGCTGCTAATACCAAGCGAGGGCCCGCAAGGAGCCTTCTTTGATGGCCAACCATCTGAGACTGCTTCATCCAACAGGCGTGATCAGAACAGCACACGCACACCAGCGAGCAATGACGTCAGCAAGGTGCAGCCCGTTGGCATACATTTACCCTTGGCCGATGCACCCACCGGCACGTCAGGAGGAAACGAAATGCTCAGCCTAGGGGCAAGAGCGCAGGGGGCAACTGAGCCGAGCATCGATCAGGGTTGGCTGGATTGGTTCATCACTTGCGAGGATGATGATCTTTCCGTCGATCGGTCACTGGGCCCATGCAGCAAGTTTCCTGAGTCCCCGTGAGTCTTGGCTTGCATTCAGTGATGGATGCGAGTTGCCAGGACCAGATCAGCCTGGAGGAGGCTGCTGACCGTGACAGCTGTCTGGTGGCCGCCCAGTAGGAGGCTGCCCGGCCCAGAAGGGGGCTGCTCGGAAAGATGACGCTACGTTTCTTGGTGTTCAACGTTTCGAAGCTTCGACCGTATCATCTTCGTGACGAGTGTTTCAACAATAAAGTTGCACCACCTGATCCTATTGTGCATTCAGATGGTGAATTTTATGAAGTGGATCAAATCTTAGCACGACGTGGGAAAGGTCGTCGTGTGCAATACTTGATCAGATGGAAAGGGTATGACAATCCTGCGTCTGATTCTTGGTTGTCCTTCCGTGAATTGAAAAAGCCGTTTCTTCGTCAATTGATGAGTGAGTTTAATGTGACTAATTCTAATTCCTAATGCAGCGAAGTTCATCGAGATGTTTCTCAGGTGATGATGTGCTCGGGAGTGTAATGATAGGAGTTACTTAAAAGCGGTTGCGGAAACTTCAGTTAAATAGCTTATTTATCCTGTCGGTTGGATCCTAAATCTATCCTAACTTTCTATACGTTCAGCGAGCGCGGTTGTGTTGAGGTTCCTGTTGCTTGCTTGCCACCGGTTAGCAAGTTGGTTCAAGTTCATGGAGTCAAAGTATATCATCAGGATCGTCAATCCCTACAACCGGCCCCTGGCTACGGCTGAAGCTCGATGACCGCCAGGCGCATGGCCGGCCCAGTGTGGGCGGCGTGACTCGGATCGAGCTGCTGGCATGAGTCACTGGGAGAGGACAAGGCAGTCTGATCACCGCTGTTCAAACTGGTGTAGCAGCACCCCGCGGAAGGCCGTCACGGCATCATGCTGGTATGCCGCCGGCCACCGTCGTGCCGCTGCCGCCGCCCCGTCAGAGGCTCGGGCCGAATGGCATCATCAGTCAGTTTACTCAAAGTGCATCTTCAGGCAGTCCGAGCCACGGTATCAGCGGCTGACCGGCCGGGGGATCGGATGATCCACGAACCCCAGCAGCCCGGCCTGACATGGAACAACTTGTACGGCCAACTGAACCTGCTGTGACTCAGCCTCCCAGAGTCCGACCGGCGACACCGTGGCTGCGGTACAGTGGAGCTTGCCGCAGTGCCGGCTAGACTGATTAACTTAGATGGTTACTGGTCGGCCAGTAGCACTGAGCCCATCGACCCCTTGACAGATCTCCAAGGCGCACTTGTAACAGCGCTACTGTGACCTTGGAGATAAGCCTTCTCCTTCATCTCCTCCAGGTCCCACACCCTCACTGTCGCATCCTTACTCGCGCTGACTGCTGTGGGACCTGGAGGAGATCTCCGTCGATGATTAACAAGTTTGCCAGCGACCCTTTCCTGTACATGGCATAAAAGGAAGTGGTGGAAGCAAGGGAGGGTTTGAGGTAGATATAGGACAAGGGATGAAAAGCAGTGAACGAGTAGTAGCAGGCAATCATACTTGAGTTCCATACTTAAGACACAGAGCTTACTTGAGAGATAGAGAGACAGAGGGGATGGGAGAGAGGAGGGGAGCCTGCAAGACAACTCGAAGACCAACCGTGATGATGTTTAACAGTAATGTCATCTCCGTGTATTCATGTCAGTACAGAACAGTACCGTACAGGAGCGCACTGCTCCGAGCAAGCAGTACAGTGCAGTTCCCTACTCCTACATGCGGCGGTGCATGCCATGATGTGTAACGAGAGACGGGCCTGGCGGGAGAAGAGCTAGCTTTACAGCCGGGGCTCAGGCTCCGGGTACGTTACGGCATCAGCCAGTCCGCTGACTGTGTCAGTAAATCTTGTAGATGCTCGTGGGGCTCGAGCGACACATCGGACACTTCCTGGCTGTCGCTCCTTCCTTGCAAGACTCGCAGAGACACTTGTGACCGCAGGGGATCAGCGCCCATTCAGCGCTGTGATCCATGCAGATGACGCATTGCTGCCCGCGCCCTTGCACGGCCTCGTCGTATCGCTCCTGGAGCTTTCGCTGTAATTCGCTGAAGCTTGGCCGCTCCTCCTCCTCCTTCTTCCAGCACTCCTGCATGATTGTATACACTACTGCAGGGCATGACGCAGGTGCTGCAGGTCGCTCTCCGTCTACCACCTTCGACCCTACAAGCGCATCGTCTGTGATAGTTGACCCATAAGGGATTTGGCCGTAAGTCCAGACCTCCCACATGGTCAGCCCGAAAGCCCACACGTCGCTCTTCTGGGAGAACTGTCTTCTCTCGATGCTCTCTGGCGCCATCCATCGCATCGGCTGAGCAGTCCATCCTGCGTAGTCCGCTATCTTGACACTGACACCAAGGTGGTCCTGCGCATCCAGACTGAAGACCAGCACGTTCCTCGCGCCCAGGCCCCGGTGTACGACCTCGTGCAACGAGAGCTGCACCATCCCGTCACAGATCTGTCTCACCACCTGCAGCTGCACCAGTAGACCCAACGTCTCCTCCTCCACGGCAAATTTGTACAAGATCTCATCAAGAGAACCCTTGGAAGCCAACTCAGTCACCAGGCAGAAGTCGCCAGAGCTTGGCTCGACGGTGATGGCGAGGAGGCGGAGGAGGTTTGGGTGACGGCCTAGCTGCTGGAAGGTCTTCGCCTTCTGCTCGAGCTCGTCCCTCTTCTCGGTGAGTCCGCTGCCTCGGAGTCGCAGGATGGCCACGTCTGCGCTGCTGCCCTGCAGCTGCTGCCATCGAGCCTTGTAGACGAGCTTGAAGGAGCTTGAGCCAATCTGACGGCTGACGACGAAGCTGTTGTAGGCAACCGATCGAGTGCTTCCTACCTGCAGACAGAAAAATCCACCTGTCACATCGAATCTCATACGATCACAAACAGAACCTCAAAAAACACTTCATGCTGCTTGCATTGCTCGGACTCTCTCTCCTGCCTTTCCTTCCCTTCTCGCTCCGTCTGCTGCTTCTGCTTGTGCTCCTTCAGTTCCCTCTCCTCTCTCTCCATTGCCTCGTGCTTTGCCTTGACTTTGTCTTGCAGTGCCTCTATCAAAAGCTCCCCACTCCATAGCCGCCGCATCCAGTCCTCTATCTTGCTCGCCAGCTCCTCGTCCTGTCTCTCTCGCGCTACCTTCGCCGCTGTTCGTCCCATCGAGTCTCGCAGCTCGCCGAGCTCTCCCCCGCCTACTTCCAGCAGCCTCTCACAGATAGGCCAGACCCCTCGCGCCGCTGCCACGTGCAGTGCTGAGCCCATCGACCCCTTGACAGATCTCCAAGACACACTCGTAACAGCGCTACTTTGACCTTGGAAACAAGCCTTCTCCTTCATCTCCTCCAGGTCCCACACCCTCACTGTCTTGTCCCCGCTCCCGCTGACTGCAGTCTTCCCGTCCTCGCTGATCGCCACGCTGTTTACACATGATTCGTGACCTTGGAGATAAGCCTTCTCCTTCATCTCCTCCAGGTCCCACACAATCAGTTTCTTGTTTGCGCCCCCGCTGACTGCCGTCTTCCCATCTCTGCTGATCACCACGCTTCGCGTTTCCCATTCATCACCTTGGAGATAAGCCTTCTCCTTCATCTCCTCCAGGTCCCACACCCTCAAAATCTCATCAGTACACGCACTGACTGCCGTCTTCCCGTCCTCGCTGATCGCCACGCTCAGCACACAGCCACATTCAACGTCATAGAGACAAGCCTTCTCCTTCATCTCTTCCAGGTCCCACACAATCACTGACGAGTCGTTACTCGCGCTGACTGCCGTCCTCCCGTCCTCGCTGATCGCCACACTGTTTACCCACGATTCGTGACCTTGGAGACAAGCCTTCTCGTTCATCTTCTCCAGGTCCCACACAATCAAAGTGTTGTCCCAACTCGCGCTGACTGCCGTCTTCCCATCTCTGCTGATCGCCACGCTGGTTACGTCCCATATGTGACCTTGGAGACAAGCCTTCTCCTTCATCTCCTCCAGGTCCCACACCCTCAATGTTTTGTCCCTACACCCGCTGACTATCGTGGTGCCTTGAGCCACGCCTACGCTATGCATCTGCTTCAGTCGCTCTGGTCCTGCACTCACGGCCAGTCCTCTCACTTTGACCTCATCTCCTCTGTTGATTGCTTTTATCAGCCCCTTCCTTATCCTTGCATCCTCCTCCCTCTCCTTCAGCTCGTCATTCGAGATCTGATTCTGATTCATCCTCCTCCCGTATTCCCCCCAGCTCTAGCACCAGGACCTCTTCCCTTCGAGCTCTCCTCTCAACCCGACCGTCTACCGCCCCCCGTCCTTGAGCTCGAAGTCCGTTGGGATGACTTTGCAGAGAGCCTGGGACCTGTAGCAGGGATCAGCAGCGAGGCCTCGCAGACTTACCTCGTTCTCCCTCTTATCGCATCCTTGTCTCTCTTCTACGTCGGATCAAATCTCCTCTACGTCTCTTCTTAAAGGAGACTGCACAGCATACATGACCACTTGCAGCAAAGTGGAGCTGTGGGGAGTTGCAAAGAGGTGTGGAAGCTGAAAACGCCGAGGGGAACGGAGGAGGGGAGGGATTACATGAGAAGAAGGATAAGGAGAGACAGAGACAGAGAGGCAGAGAGGCAGAGAGACAGAGAGACAGAGAGACAGGGAGACAGAGAGACAGAGGGACAGGGAGACAGAGAGACAGAGGAGGTGGGAGAGAGGAGGAGAGGAGCAAGAGAACACGGGAACAGGAAAGTCAACCTTCTCTTCACTCTCCTCGCTTTCACGCTCTCTTACCTCATATGCAGCCTCTTCTATCTCTCTCATGCTCTTGCCTTTCATTGTACGTCGCTGCTCGTAAGCTTCTCTCCTCTCCCTGTCCGCTCCCCTCCCTGCCCTTGCCCTGAGTCCCTTTGCCGCAGAGTTTCCTCTGCTCTTCCTCTGTTATCCTACCGAACTCAACAGCACCCCCTCTATCACTGCTTTCCACCCCTACCTCAGAACCCCGGGGGGCACAAACGGCAAGATTGATCTTTACTCAAAGTTAAGCCTTAAAAATCAGTACGAGGACAATCAGGAGCGGCTTGACCAGGCAGCCATCACCGTGACTGTCGCCGCCGTGCCAAGCCAAACGGCGAGAAGAGAACAAAGTGAACCGTGACGGCGAGCCGGACCGTACTCCAGGCCGCTACCCAATGGCCGCCCGGCGGCAGCTTGCCAGTGTCGGAGCCGGGCCGGGCCGGGCCCAGCCTGTGACCGGCCCCGCGGCCGACGGGCCCCGACCCGGTGGCGGGGAAAAAATCGAATTCGAAAAAATGAAATTGCCTAGCTCTGGAATGCTGAGTTAGGTCACAGGAGCGAGGGAGGGGCCGACGAGAAGAGAAAGGAAGAGAGAGGGAGAGAGAAGGAGAGAGAAAGAGAGGGAGATAGAGAGAAAGGAGGGGGGGCGGGGGGGGGGAGGAGGAGGAAGGAGAGAGAGAGAGAGAGAGAGAGAGAGAGAGAGAGAGAGGAGGGAGGGAGGGTAAGGGGGGGAGAGCGACATAGTACCAGACTGACAGGGCGTGGGAGAAGGAGAGGGGACAGACAAGGGGAAGGGGAAGTGAAAGGGCCCGAGCTCGCAAGTGAGTTTATAATAAGTGGGAGCGAGTAAGAGAAGAGGAGGTGAGAGAATCATAGACCTGGAGATGGTGGGCAGCAGCTCTCAAGTCTGAAACAGGAGCATATCCTTGTGGAGCTCTAGTTGTGCGAATGCTTGTGTTGAAACAATTCGTGTGGATGCTTCTTGAATTTTAAGAGCTTCTGCTATACCATCACTCTTGCTGACTAGAAGTTCTCAGCTCAAGTTTGGCTGGCGGGGTTGGAACTTGGAAGACAGTAGCATTCTGTGTGTGGGGGGAGAACTGAGGGGAGCTCAATATGAAATTACCTGTCATACCTCAATGAGTTTTGTCTCAGCTTGTCACGTCAGAGAAAGATGCAATATTCAGTGCGGTTAAGATGATGAAGAGCTGACAACCTCTGCCATCTCCACTCCCCCATGAAAACTCTCCTTTTCTCACTCATGGCGGCGAGGATTTTGAGCCTGTGCTGTTGCCTCGTCGATCTGCATGTGAGCGGACCCGGAAGGATCGGGCTCTGCTCGAAGCTGTTGAGCGGGGGGAGAGTGCCATCACTGCGCATGAGCATACGGGGAGGCTCAACGAGGGAACATGCGAGGAAGGTGCGAGCTGTTCCATCTTGTGCAGGTGCAGCGACTATGCATTTCCCTGACCATCAACTTCAGTTGCTCATTCGATCCAAGGAGGACGAGGGACAGGGATTGAGCATCGCTGCCGTCCACTTCGGCTCTATCCTCGCCATCTCCTACTACTTCGCCACCAGGAGTGCTGACTGGCGCCTGAAGCTAGTCTTCAAAGGTTGCATGCTGCAATCTTTTCCTTGGGGGCTGCTGGGCTCCCAGAGCCTCGTGATTTGCTCCTGTCATGTTGGAAGTTTACAATCTCTCAGCCCATCATTGTTCCCGTCTTGTTCCTAACGCAGAGTTGTCGCAGGGCTGGCGTACAACTGCCTCATCCTGGCGTTCGGCCAAGTGGTGGGCTGCTATCGACCCTGGGGCTTCTGTCCTCTCCTGACTCCCCTTTCCTTCAGATGGGCAACCGGCTGCATGTTCTGGGATACCCGCTCTTCTCTCTACTCTCACTCCCTCGTTTCTTCATCTCCCCTCTGGTGTGGCTCAACATGCGCTCTTCCTCCTTCCCTGAACCTCCTCCCTCCCTCTCTTCGACCTCATTTCACTTTCTCCTTGTCCTCCACCCATTTGTCTTCGTCCTCATCATAGTCTCCGCTTTCTCATAGTCTCCTTCACCCTAATCTCTCTGCTGCAGGTCTGCTCCATGCTAGCATCCTCAGTCGCTTCAGTGGCTGAGGCCCAGGGCTTGCGGATGTTCGCAGCGTCTGTGAGTTCGTTCCCCTTGGCTGTAGGCTCCCTCACTCTTTCCCATGCTGCTCCCAGTGGATCCTGCAGTCAGCCGCCATGCTTATTGGAGGTCTCAGCGTCTACTCCATCTTCTGGTGCTGCCCCCTCCTTCCTCCCTCCTCCTTACTTGCCTTCCAGGCACGTGGCGTTCGGCGCTTCCACCATCCTCGACTCCACCTGGAGGTTCACGTAGCTTAGGACGGGGGCAAAGACGCTGAGAAGCGTCTGGCCAGGTCTGCCGGTCTCGTCTACTACAAGCTGCATCCTTTCCCTCCGAGCACGGCAAGTTTCCTTCCTCCTTCTACCTCGCTCCTCCTGTCTCCCTGCTCCCCTGTTGTCCTTCACTTCCATCCTCCCTCTCTCCTCCACTCAACCGCGCTTGCAGGCGATCCTCCTCCCTCCCATCCTCCTCGTCTCCCTGGCCGTGTCTCTGGGCATCAAGATGTTGAGGTCAGAGGAAGGAGCAAGGTGGAAGGGCTGAGCAGCGGGCAGGAAGGGCTCCTTTGCTCTGCTCGCCGGCAGCTGCTCCATGGTGTCTGGCATCTTGGGATCGCAGAACTTTGTCGTCTGGAGCGAGTCGGTGAGGAGGAGGACGAGCCTGTGAGGAGGGAGTGAAGCCATTGCAGCCGGCATGCCTCCTCCTCGCTCTCTCCGTCTACCATTGCGCCGAAATGAGTCAGAGAGAAGACCCTGCCGCCTCCTCCCTCGCAAGCAAGGTGATCCAGGGCAGAGTTGCTCCCTGCACCTGAAGCTCCTTTCACCTCCCTCCCAGTCTCCCTCCGTCCCTCAGCACCCCTATCTCCCCCGCTTTTCTTCATTCCTTTCTTCTCCTCGCTGCCCCTCCATCCCTTCATCGCCTCCTCTTGGATTTCCTCCTCCTCCCTCCTCCTCCCTCCTCCTCCCTCCTCCTCCCTCCTCCTCCCTCCTCCTCCCTCGTGCTAACTCGACTTTGCATCCTTCCTCTCGCTCTCCTCCAGCTGTGGGGATTCATGACTGTCTTCGCCGGCATGCTACTGCCGCACCTTGCATGGCACGTGGCCACTCTCAACGGCCATGGGGGCCCGGAGGAGGAGGAGGACGCTCGCATGTCTCAGGATGTGGGGAGAGGAGGAGCAGGGATGAACATTCAGATCGCAGCAAACAATCTGATCGTCAACAACAGTCCCAAGTCAGGGAGCAGAACTCCTGCTTCCGGCTCATCCTACTTTCCCACCAGCCCCATGGAGCAAGACGACGCTGCTTCCTCCTCTCCTCCGCAAATGCTGGAGACCTCGAGCAAGAAGACTTCGCAGTCGACCATCCAGAGGATCTCTCTCAACAGCGCAGCGAGGTGAGAAGGGAAGGAGGCGAACAGGATGGTTGAGGGAGTGAGGGAGGCAAGGGAGGAGGAGAAAGGTGGGAAAGCGATGTTCTGGTGACATGAATCCTTTCTTGCTGCTCGTCAGGATGAACAACTTTCAGGGGAGGAGGCGGTGAGAGTCTCCGCTTTACCTGTTCGAGGTGCTCATGTGGGTGCAGTCCGTCTGATGTACCTCCGAGGAGCATGTCCAGTCAAGAGCCTTCCTCCGGCAAGCTGCCAAGGTAATGAACCTTGTCGTCTTCCTCGTCCTCGTCCTCGTCCTCGTCTTGGTCGTTCCCCTCTCTCGCCTCCACCACTACCTCCTCCAGCTCTTGGAGCTCCTTCCCCGCTTCCCCCTTCCTCGTTGCTCCTCTGCCTCGCTCAGTCTCGTTTCAGCCCCTTTGCAAAGGAGTCGGAATCTCCCAGCTGAGGTCTTTCTAAATTGACAAGGGAATGAAGAACATCTAATGTGGTATTCATCTGCAATGAGATTGCTTCTTCATGGAAAAACATGTACATGATTAAAAGAGAGAGATCGGGATATGAAAGGGATAGGCATGGCGAGAGAAAACCAGGGGAATAACTATCGCACAAGAAATAATTTCCACGCCCAATGAGAAGTTTCCTTCCCAATAACAAGCGCGTGCTTTCAACTCATTTTGTTCAGATTGCGCCGGACGCTGCCAACACAGTCACGCCCCTCGTCAGACGTCATCGTCTCGCAACCTGTTTCCTTCGTCTCCTCCTTGGAGCTCGAGAGGGAGGAGAACATCTGGAAGTATCTCACATCAGCTTTGCGTCCAAACATCACCGAGGCAGAGACCAACCTTGTCTCCTGCTTCAACAGCCTCCTTCCCTCCTGGGATGTTCTTCACGAGATCCACTGTCTCCGCCTGGAACGATTCTCCCCCTCTCTTCGCCGCCTGCCCCAACACGTCATCGCCCGCAGCAACCAACGGTAGCACATCACATCCATCCAGTCATTCACGTCGTGGCTGGGCTTGTAGAAGTTGCCCAGGTCCTGCCATGACCTGTCAGACCTGCCGCCACCTTTTCTCACCTTCCCCACCTGCAGGTAGGGGGAGCTGTAGTTGTCAGGAGCCCACGAGAAGTAGATGTACAGGACGGCAGCCGACAGGATCCACCAGCCCACGATGAACCAGAACCCCGCAAACATGACCAAGTCCCCCAGCAGGCCAAGGACCTGAGCACGAGTCAGCCTCCTGCATCCCCTCAGCAGAGAACAAGTGCCGCACAATGAAGACAAGAGCTGCGTATCCTCTAGTGCAGGACCAACACAGCCCGACGACAAGGAAGAATGCGCTAAGGGCGAGGGTGAAAGTGCCGACAACCACGAATAGGAAGCAGAACCCCTGGAAGAACTCAAGTCCTGCTCTCAGAATCAGCACATGCTAACTGCTGCCTCCTGCATTCGACCTGGAAAGATCATCCCCAGGATCCCACAGAATGGAGTAAACTGGCACATAAGTCCGATCCAGAAAAGCGCGAAGCCGGTCATAGTGAGGTAGGGTCGAGGACGAGTTGCCTCCAACTCCCCTGCGCATCAGTTGAGCACGGGTGATAGCTGGGAGAAGAAATGCTTACGAGCTTCGAGTTGCTCGCACTTGATTTCATCCTTCTTCAGGTACTCCCTGCTAACCTGACAGGAGAGATCATTTTTGACCTGCCTCTGAATGCGATACGTACTAGTCTGTCACGTTCATCTCGCTCCCTCGCGATGATGACGGCTTTGATCTCAGAGTATCTGAGAGCATCCTTCAACAAACGCATGCCATCCCTCACAAGATCTTACAAGATTGCCCCGATCCCAAACCAGAAGAAGATCGTTCCCAGGATCGTCCAGAACAAGACCTGGAGGAGAAAGAATCACCTTCCTTCTATTGAACGTAGGATCACAACTCACATTCTCGATGTGATACTTCTGGGAGTAGTCGTTGATGTGAATGATAACGCCCATAAATCTCTCCATGAAAAGAAATATGTAGGCCATGATTCGTGAGTAGGCATCACAGTCGTCCTCGTTCTGCCCAGTGCATTCGCAGTTCGTTGAGACATCCCCGGATTTTTCTGCCGGGCATTTACCTGCATGAGCGCATTAGAACAACAAACGAGTTATCACTTGTCATACAGATAGCATGCAGTGCCAAAGGATTATCGCTCTTTGCCTGAATCCTTTGAGCGAGGTCCACTTCTACAGGAGCGCTCCAGGTCCAAGGTACGGTAGCTGTGAATGAGCAGCCTCCTGCTGTTGCCTCCTCTCCTTCTCCCTCAGCTTCTTGCGCCATGGCTGCGGCTGCCATCGCCACCAACACGGTGACGACCCAGCGTACATCCCGCATGGCCATGCTGAAGAGTCAGAATCACTACCCTACCATACTGACTAACAGTACCCTGTTCATTAGCAACATGCTATAAAGCACCCATGCGTCTGACTGTTATTGGAAGGCAAAAGTACCGGTCATATACTAGAGCAACTGTTAACCCCCTTTATTCAACAGGGTGGTAGTTCATTTCCACCCCACCCCTTTTAGAGACATTCAAATTGTTAGTTGTGTGTCCTGGTGTCAACATTATCAAGCCTGCCTCACTGAGATTATTTTAGCAAATAAAGGGGGCAGCAAAACGTACCCAAAAGATCGCATGGTTTTGTAAGGCAGCAGGGCAACCAACGGAAAGGAAGCGTCGTTGGCGACGTCCGGGAAGATGATGTGTTGCTAGCCGTTCATGGTCGAGAGGAGACGGCAAGACAGGCTCCTTTCACATGTCGTTTGCAAGCAATGGCTCGTGGTCTGCTCCTCTGGAGTACAGCAAGGCTCTCAGGAAGGAGTTGGGTCAAAAGAGGGGCCAGGTTGGTCAGATCCTCCTGCGAGGGGATGGGGTCCAGTCAGACTCGGAAGAAGGGATCTTTTGGCTGAGGAGGGGGGCAGCAGATGGCGATGCTGATGCGCAGTATGACCTTGGAAGGTGCTACGAGCAAGGCAGAGGGGTGGATGTAGACGTTGCCTCCGCTGCGCTGTGGTATCAGGAAGCTGCGAAGCAAGGGCACGACAAGGCCATCTGTGCGCTCGGGTATTGTTATGCCAAAGGGGAAGGAGTACAACAGGATCAGGAGATGGCGGCAAAACTCTTCCTCAGAGCTGCACAACTAAAGATGCCGGAGGGGCAGTACAACCTTGCTGTCTGTTATGCAAGGGGTCGAGGTGTCAAGAAGGATATGGAGAGGGCAGCAGAGATGTACATGAAAGCGTCGCTGAATGGGCACAAAGCGGCAACAAGTAATCTAGGATTGATCTATGAGGTGTGTGTTGCTTGCCAGTGGTATTGATCCTAGCCATGACTGTCCTTTTTTTTTTAACATGATTGAACCTTTCGCGGCACCATGTTTGATCCTTTTCCTGATTGCTTTGCAGGAAGGCGATGGTGTTGCAAAGGATGCGTCGCGGGCTGTCGAGATCTACAAGAAAGGATGGAAAGAACTAAAATGCGATGTGGGTGTAAGGAATCAAGTAGATGATCTTCTGATTTGCGCACAGGTGTGCCAATACCATTACGCGAGGTGTCTCTTCAGGTGAACAACGATCTTGTCGTCATCGCAGACTTGTATCTGTCCTTTGCATCTCCCTTACTCTCTCTATGACTCTTGTTGTCTAGCACTGTTGGCTTGACCATAGAATATCAGGGGTGTCGGAGTGCCAATGGACAAGGACCTGGCTGCCAAGGTTCTCGGACCTAAAGTGTGGGAACTGGGTAGTCGATGATGTCTTCAATGCAACCCATTTTGTAACATGTAACTTGGATTTATTAGTTTGAAAGATATTAATTCCCAATAATTGTCATAGGCTCTTGTGAGTGAATACAGGATCGCTATCATCGCTGTTGATATACCAGTCGATCCACTCCTTACAAATAGTGGTTGCTTCTTTCTCGCGCTTGACAGCAAAGCATCCCACGAAGAAATCGGTCTGATGTGTGGGGGAGTTTGGTTTTTTTACAAAGATTTCGTAATCCCGTTGCACGATCGGAGTATGCTCCGGATCAACTTTGTTCGGTGCGTCGTGTAAAGTCGGGCATGATACTGTATGCGACGGGCCCTCTTGGATGGGCATGCGAGCACTTGTACCGATAGTCAAATCCGGCACCGCAGGAGGAGGATCTGATCTGATGTAGTTCGGAGCCTTTTTGGGGATCGATCCCTTCCTTGAGTAAGGCCATCGCCGGATTCCGAGCTTTCGGCAGGCAGATTTTAAGCTTGTCAGGCATATGCCCAGTCTTTCCGCAGCGACCTCTTGCTTCATGCTGAAGAGGGGTTGAAGGGTTTGAAGGTCCAGCTTCACATCGGCTGCTGATGACGATGATGCGCCCCGAACGCGTGGGGAAACAATCACAGATGGTTCCATGTCTCAAAGGTGATTTGTGCTGTTGCTGTGTAGGTGTTGTACAGGCTTGTTGCAGTTGGCTACAATGGAGGACCACTAAACAGGCTGGTTGCAGAGTTCTGGTGAAGACAGCGGGAGCGGGAGGTAGTCGGAAATTCCCTGCTGCAACTTTATAAGGGCGAGCTGTCGGGAACGTTGCAGGGGCATGGGGGCAAGCGATGCGTTTTAAGGATTTTATCAGACGCCTGGAGGTATAGAGGGGTAGTGTGACTTTATGACCGGTACTTATGTCTTCAATTACACCGGTACTATCAGAGCTTGAAATATTTGTAAAGGGGTGGTGCGTGAGGGCGCCGTGCGCGGAAACGAGGGCGGTGATGAAAAAGCAATATTTCAGATTCTATCTCAAGCCAAACGTTGTCTCTTGATAACGAAGACCGCTGATGCGCCATGAGAAGTCCGTGGAGCCCATCAGTCAAAGATCGAAAAAGTGTCTTTTCGAATTTTTGTCGTGAGGCATAAAGGAAATCAGACGGAGGCTGACGCCGTGCCAATGGAGGGGATGTTGTTTTGAAATGAGATAAAACCAGAATCCTTCATGGGGGTCGGTAAAGAAGGGGGTGGGGGGTGGAGTGATGGGGTGCTAGAAGATACAATAAGTTGGCATAATGTACGGGTAGGTGCATCGATTGAAGGGTAGGGTGGTACTAACCTGAAAAGGGCCAGGGGCAGCGGAAGGATTCTTAGTGAAATCAGAAATTGATGTCTCCACAAATTTATAAAAACTTGAACACGGGCGGGCCCGGTTGACCCGGCGCACTTTTGAGTTTCCGAAGTTCAAGATTTGCCAACTTTAGTCGTTTATTTTTAAAGGCCTGTGCAGTTCAATTCAGTAGTCTCCCCCGGGCCGTGCCCCCGGGCCCGGGCTCAATCCGATCTTGCCCGGCCTGCAATCGGCTGAGTGGCAGTGACTGTGGCCGCGGCCGGCGCCGCGCACCGTCACCGCTCCGCCCGCCCGGGGGCCGGGCGGCCCGGCGCACGCGGCCCCCGCATCACTCGTGACTGTCAAGTTGACTTGAACTCAGTGACTCCTTCCGGAGTCCGAGGCGGCTTCCGGCCGTCACGCCGGCCGATGCCGCGGCCGCCCGGCCGGGCACGGCCGCTCGGACTCGCTGACGGCCGCGGACTCGAACGCCGTACGGCAGCGTAGGAAAGCAAGCCTGCGCAGGCTTGAACTTCGGAAGTTTTCGCGCCCCGCGCAGAGTCGGCGACCGTGCGGCAGCCCCTTGGCCGCCCGGTATAGGCTGCAGTGCCGCGCCGCTGAGACCGCACAGAGTGATCGGAGGCGATGGCCTGGCTGGACTAGGAAGTGCCAGCCTGCCAGGCGACTAGCGGCTGCTGTCGTAACTTCGGCGGCTTCTACCGGGAGTCACAACTTGGTTCCGCCGTCACGCCAAGTTCATTTCCTAACTTTTTAACTAGTAGTGGCCTGAGGCTTACTCAGTTGGTTTCAAGCCGCCAAGACTCTCTCAATTCGACCGAAAGGAATACGGTTCCTCGCCTTTCTGCCCGACTAACATACGTTCAACGGTTGGCAGTGCCGCAGATCAGAGCGACCGCATCTGGTTTGAGTCAAATTCCTGAAGATTGAAATGCGCTGTCATAGATGATTGGATCTTGATCGTTCGAATTAAGATACCATCCTATCCATCCAGAACTGATTGGCTTGTCACCGTCATCCTCATCTGCGCCATCGCCTTGAAGGCTCAAGTTGGTGTCGGGCGGGATCTGAGGAGGAGCCTTGTCTACTTGACCAAGTTCTGGAAAACATTGATTGGATCCAGTGCTGACAGAGTTAGATTGGGCTGTCTGTGAGATGCATAATTTGTCTTTCTTGTATGGCCATCGTCTCAAGCCGAGTTTCCTGCAGGCAGCCTTCAAACTTGTAAGGCAAATGCCAAGTCTTTCAGCCGCCTCCTCTTGCCGAAGACCGTACAAGGGCTCGAGCACATTGAGGTCAAGATGGACCTCCAATGGCTGTTTTTTCAGATCTCCTGGGCGAACTCTTGGTGAGACCGTAACTTTCTCAACTATAGCTGTTGACGACGCGATTCTTGCTCCCTGCCCTAGTGTGGATTCGTTGCGGGCCATTGTCACCTTCTAGTTGGAGAATTGATGAAGGAAGCTTATTCTGCTGAGTTTATTTTACTGTCCTGTAACGCAAGTGAACGCAGATGCCACCACCGGCATCAAGTTGGCAGGGAGTAGGAGAAGGATGAAAAAACTGGAAGTGTGTTGTGCACCACAGGACTCTCCAACTAATGCCCGGGTGTGACGAAGTTGAGAACAAGGCAGGGAGGGTCGGGGATGGAGAGAGTCAAAGAATGTCTCAGGAGTGGAGGGGGATGCGTCGGGGATGAGGAGGGGGGGGGAGGTGGGGGAGTTCAGAGGCAAGCAGCAAAGGATCGTCCCTTTTCCTTGTGTCGGAACGCGAGGAACGCATCGGTTCGTGCTGCAAACAAGGCTCCAGGGGTTGTTTCCGTATGAATTTCAGGGGTAGTCAAATGAACCAAATAAGTGGAAAAGGAGGGGTATTATTTCTGAGAAATTAAGGGGTGGGGGGATGGTAGAAAAAGGATGGGCTATGAGCTAGTCATTGTTTAATCAATCGTGACTAAACTATGACTAAACTTTCTTGAACTAAACAGTCAGCCACTAACTAAAACTGCTGACTAAACTGGCATGATCAGAGCGGGGATGAGGAAAAGGGTGTCGCCAAGGCGCATGCGGCTCCCCGATGAGAGCAAGTAGCGACAGGCGGGGAGAGGAGGAGGATGGCGAGGACGATAGACTAACACGCGCTCACATGAACATAATCAGAAGGCTCGCTGGTCTCCTGGTTGAGATTGTGCTGATTGATGTGCTGTGAAGAGTATGATTGCTACTCTCGCCTCCATTTCCTACCCTCATTGTACTTCTGCTGGGTGATTCAAAGCCGATGGTTCAAACAGGGGGAGAGATGGGAGCAAAAGTACTATTTGTCATCAAGTAGCTCTAGAAGCATCGGGTCGTTCTCAGATGATAACCCCTCTCATCATGCGATGAACAGGCTGCGCTCGCAAGATGCAGACGGTAATCGATGTGAGGTGCCAGTCTTGCGACTTCTTCTGCAAGGTTGGAAACGAAGTCCATGCAGACGACGAGACTTGTTTGCCTGACGCTCTACCAGGCAGCAGGGGGGACGTGCGTTAATTTCCGCTCGTGTCCCTTACGGAATAGGGAGAAGGAGAGCCTCGAGACAGCGTCGTTGACGGACATCATCTTTCTTCTGTGAGCTTGCCAGCGTCTCCTGAGCCTCCTGTCTGACGATGACTGTTGTGTTGACGATCAGCTACTACTCTTACGTGGACATCAGCGATGTGGGCAGGCGATCAGATGGCACAAGGATCTTTGCATGTGAGTGTTCGTCCGAGGTCATTCACAAGATGTGAAACAGCTGTTGCGATCAGACACTTGAATCTGAGAGGGAGGGTGCGGATATCGCACGAGGGAGTGAACGTGGTGCTCGAGGGGTTGAGAGGAGATATCGACTCGTATATTGCTGTGAGAAAGCCTCTCTCTTCGTCCCCGTTCCCCCCTTCCTTCGTCCCTTCTCTTCCCCCCTTTCCTCCTCGCTTCTTCCTCTCCCCCTTACCTCCTCTCCCTCTACTCCTCCTGCTCTCTCCTCTTCTCCTCTTCTCCTCTTCTCCTCTTCTCCTCTTCTCCTCTTCTCCTCTTCTCCTTTGCGCGTCTCCCCCTCCCCCTCGCATCGCATAGACCTCATTGCGTCGTATCTCTTCTCCTCTTCCTCCGCTCTCCTCCTCGTTGCTTCGAACGCTCACAACATGCCTGTCACAACCTTTTTCTCTTCTCTCTGTTCCTCAGGTCATCCGAGGAGATGGGAGATGGGGAACAAACGTGGACTTCAAGTTGAGGTTTGCCGCCTTCGCATCTTATGTTCTGCATGCAACCTCGTTGCTGCAGTGGTCTCAACGGCGACAGGGGAGTAGAGGAGCAGCGGTTCAAGAGCCTGAGCGTCAAGGAGACGTCAGAGGTTGTCTCTATCGGTCCGTTCACATTGAGTTGCTTGCTTGCTCTGACACTCCTCAAGGGCTACGGCAAGATCTGTACCCTCATTTCCTCGGAGCAACGCACCTCACGCCACAGGAGTGGCATGAGAAGCTGCAGAAATCACGTTGGTTCTGCCATGGCGCTGCGCGACTCCCTCTGAACTTGTGCCTTGCATGCGTGCAGGGGAGCAGGGGCAGGACGTTGTGCTGCTGGATACGAGGAACGTGTATGAGAGCAGGATCGGAAAGTTTGAGTGCGAGGGAGTGGAGACGATCGTGAGTTGGGCTAGAGAGAGCCTTGGACGGGTTGACTTGATTGTGCTTGCCTTGTAAGGTGCCAAACATCAGGCAGTTCACTGACTTTCCCAAGTTCGTCGATGACAACATCGACCTCCTCCGGGGAAAGACTGTGATGATGTAAGAACAGCCCACAATGACAGGGATAGCTGGTGGAGGGTGGCAAGCAATGTCAAGTTCATCCTGGAATGAGCAGGAGAAGAGGAGGGAAAGAAAAGAAGGAAAAGGGAATAGAGAAGGCAAAACAAAGATAGGATTGCAATTAGACGTTAGCACAATGATTGTTCTCTATGAGAGGTTGATCAGCGTCGCACGCTAGTGCAGCAAGTCGAGTGGTACGCAATGATTGTTCCTGTTCCGTCTCAGGTACTGCACGGGAGGAGTACGATGTGAAAGAGCCTCAGCGTATGTCAAGGAGAAGCTGCAGACGGTGACATGGCAAGTCGCAGCTGGTGCCTTGCTGAGATTCTTGCAGGAAGAGGGAGAGGGGGAGAAGGAGCAGGGGCAGGTGTTTCAACTCAAAGGAGGCATTCACCACTACCTCAAGATGTTCGGAAGCGATGGGGGAAGGGAGGGAGGAATTCAAGAGGAACCGAGGAAGGATGGGCAAGGAGGAGGAGGTGGAGGAGGGGAGGGGGTAGGAGGAGGAGGAGGAGGGGAGGGGGTAGGAGGAGGAGGTTTCTTCAAGGGGAAGAACTTCGTTTTCGATCCTCGAAGATACGAGCCGATGCATGACGGGAATGTGAGGCAGGAGACTGACCCGGGGGCTGACAGCTGACCAGCCCGTCAGGTCCTGGGGAGGTGTCACGTCTGCGGATCCCCTCACGACGCCTACGACAACGGGCCCGAATGCAGTGAGAGCCTCCTCCTCGTCCCCCCTGCAGCTTGACCCCTCGCCTGCAGGATGCAAGACGTGCCGGCTGCTGCTGCTGGTGTGCGACGAGTGCAGAGGTAAGGAGACATGAACCCCCCCCCCCCCTCCCTCTTTCCCTGTGCTCCCTTGGGGTAACCGGGGGGGGGGGGGGGGGGGGGGGGGGGGGGCTTTTGCCAAATTTTCCCGGGGGTTAAAGGGATGGGGGCGGGGGCCCTCTAGGGAAAGGGGGGGGGCTACCCCAACGCTCC